TGAAAGTTTATCTGAGAACATTTGTTTTTTAATTCAAGCTTTATCTACATAGCACATGATAATTAAAAGTACCAGACTGGTGGAACTAATTTTACTAGATGCTTAACAGCCATAGTTTGAGGCCTATACTAATGTGGTCAGAGGGACTTAAAGGACAGTTTTTGCCCCTTGCCCTCTGTGCTGGATAGCTTTAGTGTCAACTTGACACACCTGGGTTGAGAGAGCCTCAACTGAGGAATTGCCTTCATTGGACTAATCGATCAGTCATCACCCTGTCTCTGACTACACGGCGCCAAGTGAGCTGGTAGAGCTTACCATGTAAGTGGCCATGACACAGTGAAGAAGGTGGGGGTCCTGGGTGACTCACACTTGTAACAGACCAGAAGTAGCCCCTGTGCTCCAGCTCCTGCCTCCAGGTTCCTGCCCTGAGTCCCTACCTTGAGCCCCCTGATGAACTGTGAACTCCAGATTCCTGCCCTGAGTTCCTACCTTGGGCTCCCTGATGAACTGTGACAAATAAACCCTTTCCTCTCTGAGTTGGTAGTGGTCAGAGTGTTTTGTCACAGCAATGAAGAAACAAACATACAGGATCCAATGCCCTCTTCTGGCCTCTGCTGGCATTGCACCCACATGGTACACATAACATGCAGGCCAAATACTCATACGCATAAAAATAAAAGTAAAGGGTCTAGTTCAGTGTGCGAGGTTTAGGTTCGTTCTCCAGTACCACAAAAAATAGAAAGGAAGGAAGAAAGGAAGGAAGGAAGGGAAGATAGAAAGAAAGAAAAAATTTCTGTATGTGTTTATATTCTGAGGTTGGACTACTCAAAATTGTTATCTTAAACACAGAAGAGTTGATTTCAGTAAATACTTCTGCTAATTAAAAAAAGGAGTTTGTGGGTAGGCTGGGTAGACCAAAGCATACAATCACAAATGAGGACTTATGAAAGGAGCCAGGGGCTCCTCCCAAGCCCATGTGACCCCTGAGGAACAAATCCTCAAACGACCTTAAGTGTAAAAATAAATTGATTTATTTGGACCAACTGTATGGTCTTATATACCCCAAAGGAAAATATAACCAAAGAGTAAAGTCATCGGTACATTTCTTTAAGAATTCAAGGATTGACACCCAAAAGGAAAGTATAACCAAAGAGTAAAGTCATCAATGTACTTCTTTAAGAGTACAAGAGATTACATTTCCCAGACATTAGGCTTAAGTCCATATAAAAAGTTATTCAGACAACTATTTCTCATTGGTGATTTTGTTCCTAATCAGAAAGTGTTGCTCACATGTAAGACTTCAAAACTTGGTCTGCAATACTGTAGTGCCCACGTGTAGTTAAAGGAGACAACCAGCTATTGTTCTAAAATGATGGATAAATTTGTTTTCTCCCCCTATCTAGAAGCCTTTGGAAGGGAACTGACACTGATTCTAACTACTCCAACAGCTGTCAAAATACCTGAAAGTAAATCCTGAATCCATCACCCAAGAGTCCAGCCTTGGCAGACAAAAGAAAAATGAGGAGGAGCACAATAGAGAGATGATTTTGGAAGCCCTTGTCAAGAAGCTCCAATAGGCTCTCATATGAACATTTGAAAATTGCCCTGTTCTGACTTTTTTCTAGTTCCCTGTCTAGAACTTGTAATGCTAATTACTCTTGCATTTACTTCTCCTTCATATCTCCAAGTCACAATTCAAGGACTTTCTTTCTCCCTAGAGATAAGATTATGCAATTTGGGAGTCTTTTAGATAGACCCGCTGAAGGGGTACTCCAATTGCCTCACCCTGCATCCCTGTACAGCATGGAAGAAGCCAGAGCGGTCTATGGTCCAGATTCCCTGTCAGCAGTTTGGGTAACCTCTTCAAGGATGGTGTGATAAGAACAGGAGTTAGGAATTGGCTAGGCAGTTAGGGTAAAAGACCCTAAAGAAAAGTAACCAGTTTCTTGGCTAAAACTCACAATGTCTTTGGGCCTCTTAACAACATACTCTGTTCCAAAGGCCAAAAATGTCAAAAGTATTTGGGAGCTTTTATCTAATCCTCAAAAGATTTTAGGGTTACCTCTTCAGAGGGGGTAATGTCAGAGTAGCCAAAAGCCCCATAAAAAAATAAATAAATAAATAAAAGAAGAAGAAAGAGTACATGAAGTTATCAGAAAAAAGTGATGGGGAGATATGGGAGGAGTTGGAGGGGAGGGTGTGGGTATGAATTTGATCAAAACACCTTATATGCATGTATTAAAGTCTCAATAAATTATTTATTTAAAAAAAGAACCCCAGCCACACTTTGGAGGCAGCAATGGAGGCAAACTGGAGCCCACAGCTGGCACAGAGTGACACGGGGCTGACATTTGGGGTTCTTCATGTATGTGGTCACATGGTTCTCCATCTTGTGACAAGTTCTTCCCTCTGCACTAAAGCAAGACTAACTAGAGTCACATAGAGAAGCAACCACTTCTACTTACCTGGGAGATAAGGGTGTCACAAGCAGAAGATAAGCCATGTCCCACTGAAATGCCAGTGACATTGATAATCTGGAAGAGAACCAAGAGCCAGAGTTAACAGTGGCAAATCATAGCCAGTCCAGCTCCTCCAGCATGAACAAGCTAATGCAGTCACCTATAGGGTCCCTGTTAAATCAGCTCGGGAAACTGGAAGGACATCACAAGTTCAGAAAGGGACAAAAAAAATCTAGGCCAGAGGTTATTAAACAGTCTTTTTGTTTTGAAGTCTAGACATCTTGCTGTCCAACATCAGGAGGTTGTGAACTCCTCGATGAATACAGTGTGGCACAGCAATTTTGGGTAAGTCTGCTCCCTCTAGACTAAGTGCCAGTAGAGCATCTCTAACCCAAAACTCCACAATCCAAAATGTTTAGAAATATGAAACTTTAGCACTGACTTGACAAAGTTTTCAGATTTTGGAGCAGTTTGGATTTGGAAATTTTAGATTTGGGATACTCAACTGGTAAAATCTGGGCAAATATTCCAAAATAAAAACAGAATTTGAAATACTACTAGTCTCAAGCATTTGAGATAAGGCATGCCAACCCAGTTTACTCTTTAGGGTCAAACCCCTTAGGGCCTGAGGAGTACAGAAGCAGATACAAAGTCAAGGTCTTTTCTACTGAAGATCCTTCAGGCACACTTGGCCTTCGCTGGGGTCAGCTATGAAACCCTGAAATCCCTGAAGCTGTGCCAGCCCTGACTCAAGGAGTGGCATCACAGGGATCTCATCCCAGTGAGTCTGCAGTAAGGTTCACATGAACAAGGGCTTGAGCTCAGCCTACTGGCTGTGACAAGACCTCGGCCAAGAGGCTTGCTGTGTGCATTTCTGTCTCACCTTGGATTTTCAAATGAGGGGCTGTGGGGTGTAACTCAGTAGTTGCAGAGAGTTTAGAGTGAGAGGCCCTGGGTTCCACCCCTAGAACCTCAAGAAAGGAAGAGACAGGGAGAGGAGGGAAAGGATGAGAAACAAAAGGGAGAGAAGAAAAAAAGATAGAGGCTCCTTGTAAGTTAAGGAGTGTCTACACCTGGAAACGAGGGAGCTAAGCCTGAGGTTTCCCACACTGCCAGAAGATGGAATAATCCCTTCCAAAGATATCCCCATCCAACTCCCTAGATCTGGGAATCTGCATAATCACCTGTAATGGAAAAGTCCTCAAACTACAGCCCTGTGGCACCCTAACTCTAGCCAGGTGAGCAGTGCGAACATACCCACCAAGAGCCAGAGTCCACGTTTTAAGAAACGCATAACTAAACAAACCAAACAAGCTGGCAGGGCCCTTGGCCTTCCATGACCATTTGCCAGTCCCTGGCAGAGAGGAGTGGTGTATCTCCTTGTCTTTGGGGTTTGCATCTACCACAAAGAGAGAATTTGGGGGTCCTTCCCCCTTGAGGTTTGGAAACTGGTTTGGATCTAGACTCCACCTTCCCATTCCATTTCCAGATTAGGACTTCCAGTCAGACTGGAAAGGTCAGAGTGTGGGGAGTTGGCACCTCTTGATGACATCAAATTTGGGCACATTTTTGGTAATTCCCTCCTCCCACATGTCAGTCCAACAGCCAGAACCAGGGCACCATGGGTCACACAGTAGATGATATGGCAGTAGAATAATACCTTCCAAAGTTTCCTCATCCAACTCTCCAGACCTGAAACTGCATTGTCACCCTGCAGAGGAGAACTAATTCCTCAGACTGTAGTCAGGTGACACGTGTTTTAGAATTCTGACCTCCTACAGAGGAGTACCTGGCATGGTTTAACCACTGAGGTGTTAAACCATGTCACAGCAGCAGCAGGCACAAAACAAGCAGCTCTGTAGGCCTGTGTGGAAAGCTTCATACATACCGCAATTGCCAGTGTGACTGCATCCAGCTCCAACTTGCCCAGGTGACCACAGAACACTGAACTTATAAAACTGATCAGGAACATCATCAACTGGGCCAAGAACTGAGAAGAGAGGGGAGGGGAATGGGAAACAAAATGAGTGCAGACCACCACCATCCTGGGGAGGACGTGGTGCCACCCATCCAACTCCCCATGGGAAGAAACATGGCACTGGCTGTTCATCTGCAAATACACAATTTCTAGAGGCCTTCTTGAAATAGTAAAATATTTATCTGTAACCACTGGGTCAGAATTCAATTTGTGTGTGTGTGTGTGTGTGTGTGTGTGTGTGTTACATGTGTTTTTTTATTTCTTTGGAGATGCTGGGGATAGAACTCAGGGCCTAGCACATACTAGGTAAATGCCCCACCGAACTACATTCCTAACCTTTTTCTAAATTTTACTTTGAAACAGGGTCTTGCTAAGTTGCCAGGCTGCCCTCCAAGTTTTGAACCTCCCGTCTCAGCCTCCAAAGCAGTTGGGATTACAATTGTGCACCACTATGTCCAGCTCAGCTTATTGTTATCTAATTCTTTTTAAATTTTAATTAGCACACAGTAGCTAAACATATCTATGGGAATGGTGTGATATACCATGTAATGATAAGATCAGAGTGAGACCATTCCTTCCATTGCTGATCATTTCTTCATGTTGCAAGCTCTCCAAATCCTCTTTACAAGCTATTTTGAAAATGCAATTAACTGCTGTTAATCATAGAGAAGTTACACATTCTACCAAGCTGCATACCTGGCCACCTTCAGAATCGTGTGTGTGTGTGTGTGTGTGTGTGTTGTGTGTGTGTGTGTGTGTGTGTGTGTGCGCGCCTGTGTCCGTGTCCGTGTCTGTGTCTGTGTGTGGTACTTAGGCATACAATGCCTCTGAGCCAAATCTCTAGCCTCAGAATCACATTTTTTATAATTCCCCAGTCTTTTGAGTTTGTTTTCCCCTTTCAGTTTCTCATGCCACAGTTCACATTAAAGTTCTCCTGAAATCTTCAGAGGCTGCCTTCTCAGATAACCACCTTGTTATTCTACGTTCTTAGTAAGAACATGCCTACCAAGAGCATAGCCTTCTACCTCCAGCCAGTGAGATTCCAGAGTCAGGAGGGCTTAGGCACAAGTGAGATTACCCACCTAGACAGCCAGAGGACCCAGGTGGAAGGCTTTTGTTCTCTGGGGCATCTCTAATTCTCTGAGTCTATGGTGGCTCATCTATGAGGGCAAATGCAGCTACAGACCCGATCTGCCTCACATTCCAGGGACCTCTATGAATCTTTCTACAATGCTATGTCTCTTAAGCCCAGCAATTCGCTCCAAGTTTAGATTCCATGTGGAATATACCGTCAACATCCAGACCAGCTAACCCAGCTTCTTCAGGAAGGCTGCTATAGCTTTGCTAGGGTTATGCCGGTAATCTTGCTCACTACCCAGGTTGGCAGCTGAATATTTCCAGAATCTGCAGGAGCAGAGCTCTGGAGCAGTGATTTGTTACCTTCTCTCTTAGTTGCAAGGCCTTTGGGTAAACATAGGGCTACAGACATAAGGGTCACCTGGGGACGTTCAGAATGTACCCTGGCCCATCTCAGCATGCTGACTTGGGAGGCCAGTGGGCCTGAGGAATTTGCATTTCTACATGTTCTCTTTCTCTGTGCCAGGCATACTCAGCAAAGATGCAGATGGTCAAAGACCACACTTTGAGAATTCTGGAGACCCTTTGGAACTATGTCACTGGAAGGCATGTTGCTGAGCCCGGTTGATTCACCAGATCTAGATAAGGATTGGTTCTCCTAAATATTGAAATGACTACTGTGTGAACAACGGTAAACTGAACTGGTCATGGCTTAAACACAGACAAACAGATCATAGAAATTTCCAGACTAGGGACAGGGTACAGCTCGGTAAGAGAACATGTGTTCAATACATGAGAGACCCTGGTTCACTACCCCCACATACCCCAGTTAACAGACTGACTGTGCTTCTTTCCTTCCTTCTTGGCACAGGGCATTGCTCACTTTTTTTCAACGGCCCACAACACAGAAACCTGATAGCAAGGTAAAAACTCTTACTGCCTTGCAGTTTAAAATGGGGAGGGGACAGGGTGAGACCAGGACCAGGTGCCTGGAGGGAGAGCAAGTATCAGCTTGCTCAGCAGACTGGGCAGGAGCTCTAGAAGGTTGTTGTTCATCCCCTCTCACAATGACCTGAAAGTCTGTTAGCCGCAACAGATCAGTATAGCAAAGAACCTAATCCATCATCTGGGCATTCCTCCCTCTACATATGAAGAAGCCCAGCTTAGTCACCTGACTCAACAGGGACCACAATAATATCTTTAGTGCACACAGTACACCAGGATCCCAGCTTATGGTCACAGTCTGAGTCAGCCACACACCAGAGCTCTCTGCCACCCCTCACCTGGGAACCCATAACACAGACAGAAAAGACATGGTGAATATAATAATTAACACAGCTGAGCACCTCTGCACATTAAGCTAAAAAGCTGTGACCTCTTCACTGGGCCCTCAGGTAACTAAAAGCCTGGCATCTTTGCCTTCATTCTGTGTCCTTGTCCTTTACTTGGGGCCAGACTCCTACCTGCTCTAAGTAGGCATGTTATTCACTTAAGCTGTATCTGTCTAAAAACAGTAATGCCTCATCTATCTCATCCTCTTTAAGATTAAAGGCATAAAGATGAAGGGTAATAAGCATCTTACCGTCAGCCTCCAGTCCCCAAAAAGGGCACCTGAAAATCCCCAGCCATTGTTCTTAGCCATCAGTTGCCTTGGATCCCATGAACAACAGAGCTCTCAACAGATGACACCATAAGGAGATTACTTCTAAGGGAAGCTGAGGCTACCCTCCCTACACATGGGAGCAATCATCTTATGGAACCAGCTTGTCCTCTAAAGCAGTGGCTTCTCCCGAGGCACTTGGCTGAACCAGGACTGAAATAAGGACCAACCAGACCACAAGGTAGTCCAGACTGCCTAATTGTGCATACCTCTCAGTCCATTCCCCGATCCCTACTCTATTTAAACCTAAAGTTTATGTCTGTACCCAGAAGACGGGCTGAGATACAGGAGCCAGAGATGATTCCGGAAGCAGTAAAATTGAGCTGAAAGTTGAATGAAGAACCTTCCAGGCAGAGAAGGGCAGTGTACCTGAGTTCAGACAGAGCTAGGGCTCTGAAGGAGGTTGACTGGGTAGAAAGGATGGAAACTAGATAAAGCAAGAGGGCTTGGCAAGGGCCAGACCACACAGGGCCTTTTAGAAGCCCGATGTATACTCATAAAGGACTACAGAGGCTCTGCAGGTGAGAGCTTGGGGGGAAGGGGGAAGAATTCAGTGAATGTGAAATTACAAACCCTGCCAGTCAACAAGATGACTCAGCTAGTAGCTAGTAAAGGCACTTGCTGTCAAGCTTTAGGACAGAGTTCAATGCTTAGGATCCACATGGTGGAAGGAGAGAAACTACTTCTACAAGTTGTCCACTGGTGTACCATGCATCACACACACACACACACACACACACACAGGCACGCATGCACGCACGCGCACACACGAGAGGGAGTGGAGAACTTAGAGGAAGACAGCCTGGCCACTTAATCTGTTTTACAGTGAGCCTGGAAGGAGAGGGTAGCCAACAGAGAACAGTGGAGAAGGCGGCCCTCAGGAAACAGGAAATGCACAGCAGGTGGGAACAAAGATGGAGCCACTAAGAGGGGCTCCATACACGACTAGTAAGACACTAAGCTGATGCCAGAAATCTAGATCACATTTTGCAAAGCAAAGTTGCATGTGCAAAGAACTAGAAGGAGAATTTCCAAGTGACCTGAGATTCCAGTTTTTTCTTCTGTTGGTTGGTCTTGGTGGTTTTCTTTTTCTTTTCTTTCTCCCCCCCCCGCCCCCGCCCTTCATTGAATTTGTATTTAATTTGTAAGAAACCAATGATAGGGGCTGGAGAGATGGCTCAGCAGTTAAGAGCACTGGCTGATCTTGCAGAGGACCTGGGTTCGAGTCCCAGCACCCACAACTAACAACTGTCTGTAACTCCAGTTCCAGGGGATCTGACGCCCTCTTCCGACCTCCGCGTGCACTCTACAACATGGGTGCACTTACATACATGCAGGCAATACACTCATACACATAAAAGTAATAAAATATTTTTTTTTTTAAAGAAGCCAAGGATATACATGCATGTGTGCAGGGAGAAAGGCCAGCTCCCTTAGCATCAGTCTATCGCTCGGAATCAGGCTACTAGAAGGATGTCAGATCCCCTGGAACTGGAGTTACAGACGGTTGTTAGTTGTTGGGTGCTGGGACTCTAACCCACCAACAGGATCACCATTCCAAGAGGTCAGACCTGCCGACATTGTCTCTGCTTCTGGGCCAAAAGTATATGCACTCTTCAAATACACACTGGCAGCTGCTTCTGGCCAGAGAAGCGGCTCTCCCACCCCCCAAGGGTTGAAAACTAACCCACATTATTTGTTAGAAACAAGGTTCAAAGAGGTCTAGCCTAAGGAGTAAAACCAAAAGCGCATTTCAACCTAAAAGAGAACTACATTCAAAAGGGGGTTGAGTTCTTGGAGAGGACTTGGTACAGAATTCCTCTGCTCCAGAGACTGACTCTAGATTCCAAATAGTTTCGAAAACCTATTTCCAAGACACAGTTCACCTTCCTGCTCTAAGTCTCCTTTACAAAGAAACCAAGTTCCAATAATCAGGTACCGCTGGCTTCAGGGCGCACGCGAAGGCGCGCCAGGCTCCCCGAACCCCTAATGGCTGTCACCTACGCGTCCCCCATCGCAGGCTCTCCCAATCCTCAACCCTGCCCTGCGAGGTAGGTAGCCTGGCCGCAGACATCCGGGACCAGCCTGCAGCTGAGGGCACCAGACTCACCGCGGGGCCCGCCAGGACCAGGAGCGCCCGCAGTTCCTCTCGGTAGCCGGATAGCAGCAAGCTGCTCAGCTTGAGGCGCTCGGACGCGCTGTCCGAACCTCCCGGGCCGGGCGCGGGCTCCGCGGGAGCCTCCATGTGCTCGGTGCAGAGCTGCGGGAGCTCACTGGGCCGGCAGAGAGCGCACAGGCCCAGGGGGGCGCGCACACAATCCCCGCCCTGGACCGCTGCCCCCAGCCCGCCCAGTGCCGGGTTCAGCTCGCCGCCCCCCGGTCTGCGACCTTTGGACCAGCCCCTTACCGGGGCAGCGGGTCTTGTAAGGGCCGGAGACCTAACGCACGCGGAAAGTTTGAAATGGTGCAGGAAGCAAAGGGAAAGCGCGCGGGGGATGCGGTCTTCCCAGTCTCAGTCGCCAGAGGACAGGGTCAGGTTCAGAAGTTTGTGGCGGGGCGTGGAAGGACCTAGAGTTCAGAGTTGCGGTTCCACTGCGGCCAGCCAAGGCTTCTCCCGGGCTGCCTGGGACTCTGCTGTGCACCTCACGCTCAGCTCAGCACCACGCTTTGTTGCGGGTTTGGATGTTACAAACATCTCTCTCTCTCATTAAAGAATTTAGTATCTACCAGGATGAAAAACCAACCAATACCACATTTTCTCAGTGGCACAGTCGACGTTCGCTGGTCTTGAGTATTCATCCATCAGCCAGAAGAGGTGGCGGGAGATACCGGCAGGAAAATGTAGGCTCAAGAGGCACCTGCAGCCTTGGGGAGAACACAGGCAACTTGGCTTGCCTCGGAAACCTCACTTTTCTCGTCTGTAAACTCCCTCACTCGTTGTGGAGACTGACTGGGTTGATGGAGGGGGGGGAACCTGAGTCAGTACCATGTGCCCTCAGACCAGCACATGGCCATTGCTTCAGTCCTGCAAGAGGCAAAGTTCTTTCTATGCCGAGTGACTCCGTAACAGAAATGCTTCAGCAAAACACCCCAGAAGCCAACTTAGGGGAAAAAGGGTTTTTTTCAGCTCACAGTCCCAGAGGGCCCAATCCATATACAAGCAGTGTTGGGCAAGCTGTGGAGGAACAAAGTTGCTCAGCTCCTGACAGCCAGGAATCAGAGAAACAAGAGCCCCTCCCAGGTTTCAGCACCTCCCAAAATAAGGCCCCCAGCTGGAGCCCCAGGCTGCAACACAGGAGCCTGTGAGAGGGATTTCATATCCAAATCTCATCTTCAGGAACCAGGAGTCTAGGTTCAGGTTTCTGGGTTGTGTTTCAGTACTGGGGCTGGAAATCTGCTAAGATCTGTAGCACCAAGCTCCACTCACAGGGTTTAAAATAAGATCCTTAGTGCGCTTTCCTCTCACACCACTGTGATTCTCACCTTGTTTCCACGTTTTCTCCTCTGGCAGCCCCTCCCTTCTTGGGCAGATACGTCTCCAGCACTCCCATCCTGTCTTTCCCACCATTTAGTTTAGATTTCTTGCCTACTTTTGGAACAATTACCCTGTCCAGGAAAGTAGGGTCTTGTCTTGCCTGCACCTAGACTATGCCTACACACTGAACATTGTACCAAAGGGTAGGATGGTAACCCCAACTGGGAATTGCCCCATAAGGACTGGATGCATGGAGTATAGCAATAACTTCCCAGAAGAAATGAGGGTCTCAACAAACAAAAAGCTCCAGGCTGGGCATAGGCTCACTGTTCTTCTTCAGTGTATCCCCACCCCCCAGCTTCCTGTTTATTGATGCTTCACTGCACAGAACTTGACAGTGAACTTCTGCAGCTGTTTCTTGGTCTTCTGGTTCTCTTCCTGGTGTTGAGCCACTGGCGAGTGGTACGTTTCTTCTTGGACACAGATGCAGGGGTTTGTGGAACTTCCTGAGGCTTCCTTTCTGAGTTTAGTTAACAGTGATGAGAACATGGATGGTGCTAAACGGAGCATTTGGATACCTCCCTGCCTGTCATTTTGGTGAGAGACCACTAGGAAAGCATCACTTCAGGCTGTCCAGCCGTTCCTTCTCATAGCCAAGGTCAGAGACTTCAAGTTGGGCACTGCTACCCCAGTTGGCTGTGAGGGAAACAGCTACTGCTATTCTTCAGGAAATTCTAACCAATATAATATGGTATGAAACATAAATGTAATATGTAAATATTGAGAAAGATAAGACTGGAGAGAGAGCTCAGCAGTTAAGAGCACTGGCTGCTCTTAAGGAGGTCCCAGGTTCAGTCCCAGCAACCACATGCTGGCTAACAACCATCCATAACTCCAATTCCAGGGGATCCAACATCCTCTTCTGGCTTCTGAGGACATTACTTGCCTGGGTGCACTAACATGCAGGCAAAACACCCATACACATAAAAATAATTTTTAAAAAGAAAAGGCAAAGAAAGAAAGAAGAAAGAAAGAAAGAAAAAGAAAGAAAGAAAAGGCTAGAAAGATGACTCAGTGGTTACGAGTGCTGACTATTCCCAGCACTCACATGGTGGCTAACAACCATCCTAACTCCAGTTCCAGGGAGTTTGATACCTTCTTCTCACCTCTGTGGTCATTACATGACATGAGTACATTTAACATACATGCAAGCAAAACATTCATACACATAAATTTAAATAAATAGATAAAAATGAACAGGAATTTCTTACAGAAAATGGGGCATAACATTTTAAAGTAGTGCTCTGATGTTTCCTGCTTAATGTGCTTCCCAGATAAGAAGTCGCCTTCTTTTCCTAGTATTCATTGAGTCTCTACTGTTCCAGCCTCGGCGGGCACCTGAAATAGGCTAGTGGGAGAGGCAGGGCTTAATCGTAGAATAATGCAAACATGAAGCTTCAAATTAGAGACGTACTATGAAAGGAAGTGAACGAATCTCACCAGAAATACACACTCTCAACAAATTTTGGTAATTCCTGAAGATAATTTGCATCATCTCTTTCTGCCGTCCATTC